GGGGAGGGAGGCGCGCGGTCTCACCTGTGTCGCCTGCGCCCGCCGCGCGGAGCCTCCTCGGCTCTCCTCGCGCGCCCCCGGGGGCAGCAAACAGGTGGCCACGAGAGGCAGGCCCCGACGTGAGGCAGCTTCCCCGAGTGGGAGTGTTGCGCGCGTGGGCTGAGCTGGGAGCTGCCCGGCTTTTCGCCTCCCTTCAGAGCACCGCTCCCGCGAGGGTGACTGCGCTGGGCGCTGCGGTGCTTCTCTGACCAGCCCCGCTGTCTCCCCCCACACCTCGGCTCCCGGAATGAAGCTGGATGCTCCTCTCCTGACTCAGCCTTGCCACGACTCCCAGCTCTGCCCGAAGCCCTCGTGGGCATCTGCGTGGTCTTGGCCTCGGAGGCGTGTGGAGCCACAGCCCTGACCCCGTGGCACGCACCCGCCAGGACCAGGGCGCGACACGAATGGACCCACAGCTCGCTCGCTTTTCCGTGGACCCTGTGGGGAAACAGCTCATTTTTGAGTGGGGGATGAACATTAACAGATCTGAGCGTAAAACGCACATGGACCACAATTACTAAGTACAGCCCCCTTCACCTGAGCAAAGCCTCCCAAATTCATCACGCGGAGGGAGGCCGCTGCAGAATCAGGGCCTGGCCAAGAGCCATTTTACCCTAGCCATCCTTCAGAGCGTGGCACACTCTTAAAGGATGTGCCAGCACAGCTCATGGATACCTGAGGCCCCACCACACGTTCAGATTAAAGCTGGCTAGCACTCAGCTGTAAAGTTGTTACACATTTTCTAGCACTAACTTTGTAACTTGTTGGCTCTTTTTATAGCTGGATGAACATTTTTTATGGTGTGATAATTACTTTATGTCTAAATTTACTGTGCGATTAACCAGTTAATTGCATACTATATGTAGCGTGTGGCAAAGGACTTAGAAAAGCTCTTCAGGTTGTACATAGCCATCTTATGCCCCTACAGGCTAATTTTGGTGTCTCCACGGAGGAAATGGACACCCATAGAGTTGGACAAAATAATGAGAAAGGTCTCTGATGTTACAACTGGACGAAAAATGTCAGATTTGGGGGGAAAAAAGCTGATTACAATTTTCCCTAAAAGTCAGATATTTTTATATTTCAATCTTTCCATTTTCCAACATGTTTAAAAACTGGAGGAAATGCTCACAGAAGTCTTTTGCAAAACACTTTTAACTGCTTTTCTGTAAAAATTTGTCAGCATTTTCCTTCAGTGCTAACAATATAGGTATACAAAATGCAGCATCTGCAGATGCTATGCATATTTATTTTTATTTATTGCCTGCTTTAATTAGATGCTCATCACCATAGTAACTAAAAGCCAGGTTAAGAATAATTAATAATAACATACGTGTTTATTAGAATAAGTACTGACAGGACAAGTTCCATGAAGACGTGCTGTGCTCTCTGTTATTATGACAGACGGGACTCTGAAACTTGAGCAGTTGAATCTATGTGCGGCTGAGAGGAACCCTTTCAAAGCAGAAGGTTAATCTGAGGTTCTCAATAGGTTTCATTTTTGTCTTCTCCCTCTTTCTCAGCCTGGGAGCTCTCTGTGCTGCTCATGATTGTAGTTTCTGTTTCTAGTATTTAGTCCATGTTTCTCTGGTTCCATCTATATTCCAGGTAGTACACAGTCTTAGTTCTTAATGACATGATCATAGCACTGCTGTTCTTCACCTCCTCATGCTGCCTATTCACTGCAACTTCCTTCTCCCATGGACCAAATAGCCTTCCCTTTTTGCTGTCTGGAAGTCATGATAACAAAAAAGGCTACCTGCTGTCACAGTCATTCTGAGCTAGTATCAGGAACAATGGGGCAAGTGTACTCAACTGCTATCAGTAAGCATAAGCCTGATAAAATATAGTCATCAGCACAGATGAACCCTAATCCAGCAATGCACTAAAACATAGGAGTGGAACGCTGAAGCATGTGCTTAAATGTTTACATAGCATATGTGAAACCAGTTAAAATAATTCCTGTCTGTCCGTCTTTTGTTCTAGGTTTGGCTACCAACAGAGAGATGAGTTTTTGTCCACTTTCACCCAACATCCATCACACTTAACTGATGGCTGTGAATTGATGGAGTAAAGAGTTAAAATTGGTTCATTGAAAATTCTCCCAAAACCTTACTTGTGGCCTGACAGCACAATATGACCAAACCACTATTTGCTTTCTCCTGCCCCTTTGATATTTTGGGGAAATACATTTTGAGAGTCAGAGCCCCCAGTTCTGGTCCAGAAGTTCTGGGTATAATTCAGAGTGTAAATTCTTTCAAGTCTCCTGGGTCAATCCTTAAAATACCAAGAAGAGGCCTGAGTGGTGAGAGTCTATTGAAGTCTATAGGTTAACTATAGGTTCTTCAGGTCTCTGGTTTGGTGGGTTTTGTGCACTCAATTTGATGACAAAGGAAAATTTTCACATAGACAAATGGCATTTGATTTAAAATGGAGCCATCAGAAGTAAGTCTCTTCTGATTTCATAGACACCCAGACTGCCACCTCCATCTGAATCCATCCCTACTATACTAACTTTGGTTAGTCTATAGGGAGCAACTCAAACCTGCCTTCTACTTGAATTGATCCATACCATAGGTAGGCTCTGAGTTGGGCCTCCATTGTTTTTACCTCTTACTGCAGTTGTCTATAACTGATCCTTGTTGTCTGTCATTGTTTGCTTTATTATGTTTGTGGTACATATTCTCCACTGTACATAATAGCCACATGAAAACCAGCAGGTCACTTAGAGCAGCAAAGTGGTTACTCGAATGCAAGTCAAGAAAGTGAATATTACCCAGTTTGCCAAAGGCAAACAGAAGCCGTGATGTCAGTGCTGATCATTTTCAGAAACTTGTATAGGATTTATTTCTCCTGGATCATGACTGATAGTGACCCATCAGTGTCTGACTGTTCTTAGGCAGAAGGAAAACTGAATGTAACTTCCCCAGCACTCTTATTTGTCATGCTGAGGTATATGCTTAAAGTGGGGAATGGACTTCCACATAGAAAATAGAACACAGCAGCCCTGTGCCGTGGGCTCTTTATGATTTCTAAGAACAAGTAGAGCTGCACATTAGAAGGTCGCACACCTTGCCATATTGTGTCATACCTTATTTTAATGCAAATTCCCTCAAGGATTATGAAGGGCTTTATAAATGTATTCAGTTTGACCTCAATGCCTAAAAATGTAATTTACTTTTGAAAAGGAAAATGGGAAAGGATTATGCAGAAAGGAAAACCGAGGAATATTTCTTCTTTTTTCCCCCTATGTAATAATAACAAACCCAAGGATCTAGTTGAAAAAACCTCCAAATGATTTGTTGGGACTGAGTCACAAGCAGGCTGTAGTGAAATTCTGTCTTTGCTGCTGTGTCACTCTTGCAGCTTTAGATGCTTGCTGACTGTGGTTTCAGTCACCGATATAAAAAAAGCAGAGGAAGGAAGATAGAACTGACTTCGCTGAGCTGCTTTTTTGTGTGCACGGCATGTTCCCTTTGAACACAGCATGGCCTCCTTTGCCCAGTTACATGGGATGGAGTTTTTAAAAAGGAAAAGCTGAATACATAAAGTTTCATAGGATTATATGACCTATTAGATCATCTGGCCCTCTATTCTGTCTATAACAGGATTTCTCTTTTCTTTTTATTCTAGTTAGCATTACAAGTCTTACAATTTCCTGCCCTCTCATTCTGAAGCAATGGTTTGGACCTAACGTCCAGAATAAGTTTTGTTCCTAAGTCTCTCACTGTATTATTGTCTGGGTCCACATCTCAATGTACAGGTCTGGAATCTGTATATCCCAAAGCTCAAGACTGAGATGACATTTGCCCATTATAAACCAATGACCCATTTGCAAGGCATGGATCTTGGCCTGGGTTCAGATTTTGAACATCATCTAATCTGGGAGCAGATCAGCCCTTCATTGGTATTACAGCTTCTCCACAGCCACTATCTTCTTTTTTATATTTACTGGTATTATTCCTTTTTCATTCCATCAGCATTTGCAACAGGGAGTGGCAGATTGATGCACCTCAAAGGGCCCAGAACAATTTGCTTTTGGGGGCATATTTTCAATAGACATGATGGTCTGGTGAGGTCACCAAAACGATGGAGTGGCTAAAAGAAAACAATGCTCTTCTCTGTGAGACACTTTGCCTGTGCAGCAATGTAAGGCATCCATAGATGGAGTTCCCAGAATGTTTTCTATGCCGAGT